TCGGAGCGATGAAAGCTGCGAAATGAAACAACAGTTTTAGTCAATAAAGATAATAAAACAATTGGGAAAGATATGGGCGACCTAATCTCTACCAGGTTTCGCAGACCACTTCGAAGGGAGAAAATCTGCAAGATTTCCAATCGAAGCGGGAGTTTTCTTAATCAGAAACCAAGGATGATGCCAATTTTCATCCTTGTTCGGGAGATGCGAAATGATGTTCCTGTTGGCGTTAGGATATGCTAAGAAATACCCCGTTTTCTTCGATGAACTTCTCACGCTTAGAAGTTCATTTAGCTCAGTGACTCCGATAACGTATCCGGCCTCCGCCGCGATCGTTATAATTCCAAGGATAGTACGAAGAAGATTGGGGGTTAATTGAGGAAGAGCGATTTCAAGAGCCGCAAGGTATCGAACTAGGGCTTCGGGAAGAGGAAAAGTCAGCCCGCAACCTTTAAAATAGATCTCATATACACAGAAGTAGCCGTCGCGGTGGCTTTCTGGGGACTCCGTAGGATCAGCTATCTGCGCCTCCGCCATAATTCCCGGTGGGATTCGGCAGAGCTCCTTCAATCGTTCAAGGGATTGAAGGGTGCAGGTGGATCTATAGTGCGGACCGGCAATATCATTAGGGCGGGTGCACTCATCATTGCTAGAACGCCTCTCATCGAAAGACGGAGACTCGGGTCTATCGGAATCGGAAGTCATTGGGAAGAATGAAAATTTCAAGTTTCGGGAAAAAGAAAATTTGGAGAGAGAAGTAGAAGGAGCTTTAACCACAAAGATCAAGAGTAAAAGTAAGAGTGAAAAAGAAGGTTACCTCACGCAAGCTAGGTGATAATGATGGAACCGTCTTGGGAATCGTGGAAGAAGTGGGAAGGTTTTTCCCGCTTTAATAGTAAATAATCGATATACGGTCATAATGGCGACAGATGTCACGCGACTAAATATGGGTAGCGCCGAAATTCAAGGACTGATGGGATCTTGGCGGGAAAAAAAAAAAAAAATCAGAAGATTCCTCGGAACGCAATCTTTGGTCATTAAAGCATTTAAAGTCCTCCGAATTGGAATAGCATTTCGAAGAACTTGGGGGGCTAATTGTTGGTGTCGGATCCCGCACCAGAAGTCCGAGACCAACCAAAGATTGCCACGTAGTCAAGATAATGGCCCATAAAGGATAAAGCCCATTGGACCCGTGAGCCGAAGGAACGGTCGAAGTGGTTATCACCACTTCGAGAATCCGAAGTGACTGCGCTTCGACATGAGTTCGGTATAGAAGACACGGGTAAGTCGGTTCAAGGACACTTGGGCCAAAAGGCGAGGCCCATGAAGATCAGAGTCAACTCAAATTCAAACGTTGAGCATTAAAGTCAAAGATCAAAACGGACACATTTAAGAGGGAATAATTGTACTTAATTATTCATTTTAATGTCGTTTCTTTATGTATAAATATAAAGGCCAATGGCCATGTAAAGGGGATCTTTTCCGAGAAGCAAGAAATAATATAGCAATTTTCGTAACAATTCATAAAGCTTTTTACATTCTTATTTTTTGTCCGTCAAGAATAATCTTCCCTATTAACAAAAATACTTGAGTGTGTGAATCCGACATCCACAGTCAGGTGGGTCGTTGGAGGGGAATCAGAGATGGTTTGTTCACAGTTAGGTCTGTATACTTATTCCTAACTTTGGATCAATCACCAAGACCTAATATGAAGACTCTGTTTGGTAAGGCGTATAAAGTGATAACACTAGAAAGGGTGAGAGTCTTTCTCTGGCTAGTGGTAAGCCAAGTGATCATGACTAATTGTGAAAGGCATAAACGACATTTGTGTGATTAGAGGCTCTCCCAAGTTTGTAAAAGTGGGGAGGAGACCATTTTGTTTGTTCTAAGAGATTTTCCAGTAATGGAGAGAATTTGGAATCGCATTGTCCCACTGAGTAAGAGGAGGTTATTTTTTTATCAGTCTCTTCTTGAGTTGATATATGGAAATCTAGGAGATGTGTCTGTGAGAGATGATGTTCTATGGGCTACTCTATTTGGTATGGCGGGGTGGAGATCTGGAAACGTGTATGGTGAAAACATAAGATGTAGAGACTAAGTATATTTTGCTAAGGACCTAGCAAAGGAGGTGTACCTGGCATCTACTTGGGGAAGTGGATGAACCATCACATCGACTAGAGTAGAGAGACTTATCGTCTGGACCTTGCCTAGGGTTGGTTTGGTGAAGTTGAACACGGATGGAGCCCCGCATGAAAATCCGGGTTTGGCAACAATAAGAGGAGTTCTACAGGATGGTGAAGGGTGTTGAATCCATGGTTTCACCTTAAACATTGGATTTTGCTCGGCACCGTTGGTGTAATTTTGGGGTGGGGGAGGGGGGATCTACTATGGTATTTATCTAGCATGAGATCGAAGGATTACGAATTTGGTGCTAGAAGTGGACTCAGAGATTGTGTTTGGTTTTCTTACGACATTGATAAGTGATAATCACCCTTGTCCTTTCTAGTACGTTTGTGCTATAACTTTGTTTAGAAACACCGAACAGTCTGTATTTCACATGTGTATAGGGAAGCTAACCGTCTTGTAGATGAGTTAGCTAACTATACTTTTTCTCGACCTCTAGGCTTGCATTTGCTTGAATCATGTCTAGAGAATTTTCAAAGTTTTTGTTTAGAAAACATTAACGGGTCTACATACCCGAGAAGCATTCGTTTGTAATTTCTTTTATTTTAATAAATTGAAGGGATATTGTCCCTCCTCCCTTACCAATATTATAGATCACAAAAATTTCTGAAACATATAAGTTTACATATAAATTTTTACTAACGGTTTTAGTTATAATTTGACTTGGTTAAAACAATGTTGCTCGAAAAACTTACCAAACCAAATAATTCTAAATGAAACAAAATATATATATATTTCAAATTGTGGAACTCTTCAAAATACGAAAATAAATGTCACCTGAAAATTCTAATTATGGTAATCAATCTTATTGTACTCAGTTATATATATATATATATAGGGAAAATCACATTTTTAACCTTCATAGTGTAACTGGGAAGCACTTTAAACCTCGAAATAATTCTACTAACACTATAAACCACCAAGATTGTTTTACTAACACTTTAAACCTTCAAACTAACTTTTCTGTTTGCAAAGCTATAAAAAATGATGGAACAATCATTTTATGTTTGTTTAATATATATCTATTTAATTTAATTTAAATTTTAAGTAATTTTATTATTTATTACAATTAATAGAAATCTATAAAAACAAAAAAAAACTTTATTTTCTTCGTTTACTCACTGTCCGACAATGAAATTTCTTGATAAACTGTTGAAACAGTATTTTAGACTAATCCATAAGCATCTTTACTCAATCAAGTAGATAAATTGGAATCTCATAATACCAACTGAATAAAAAGATGGTGAACACATACAATAAACTGAATAAAAATTTGAAAAATTATGTTCGGACGGTAAATAGTCGAAGATGATAATTTTTTTTTTTACTTTTTTATTTATCGTCAAAATCGTAATAAATAATAAAATTAATTAAAATTTAAATTAAATTAAATTAATATATATTACACCAACATAAATTGATTGTTCCATCATTTTTTATTGCTTTGAAAACAGAAAAACTAGTTTGAAGGTTTAAAGTGCTACCCAGTTACACTTTGAGGGTTAAAAACATGATTTTCCCTATATATACAATGCAACCTCTTTTTATTGCTTCGACTTTCTTATGTTCTAGTGTAAGTTGTTGTCTAAACGTTCGTAAAATATGTTTTAACTTATTGAGTGTTTTGGTGTTAGTAAGAGCCTTATTGGACTGATTTGTATGACAAAACCATAATCTCCCGAGCGACAAAAATTACCTTTTCTCATATTTAGACTCAACTTGATTTGGTAGATACAATGTTTTGGGAAAATTCCCTAAAAAAAATCAAAGTAATTTTTATTTGGACGTTTAATACCCAATTATTTTTGATTGGAATAAAAATACTTCAACTAATTATTTGTGGTCATAAAATACCTTCTATATAAACTATTAGTAGAATCAAACCCGCACGTTAACAGCCGTTAACGGACGTAACGGAATTAACAAACGGAGTTAAATATCAATCTCAAATATGTTAATTGATATATACAATCGTTTAACGTTTGATATATACAATCGTTTAACGTGTTTCTGCGAATAAGTTGTTGTGGTCTAGTGGTAAACGGTAAGTGGCAAAGCTTGGGTTCGAGTTGTCCTCATGGCTATTTTTGTCTTCCATTTTTTTTTTCTCTTCTTCTCTTCTTCGCCTTCCTCAGATCTGAAAATTGAGAATTCAAATGAGTTGATAGCTACAATTGGAGGTTGATTTCGGGGTTGGAGATCCTTAATTATCCTCCTCTGCGATTAGGGATGAGAGGTTTAGGGTTTGTAAAGGCTTGGTGAGTGAAATGATGCTTGGAGATACGAGGGCTATGGTTGATGGTGTGGGTGTACCGATTTGTTACTCGATTTGGGAGAGAAATTGGAGGTTCTTGTTCATGGGTTAGATGAAGTATTATTTCTGGGACGGTGGTGGTCAACGACGGGGAAGAAAAAAAACACAGAGATCGGCAAAGGAGAAGAAGAGAAAAAAAAAAAATTTGACTCTACTGGAATCGAACCCGGGTCACGCATATTGAGTAAGCCGCACTATTCCACTGGACCACCTTAAAATTTTAATAAAATATAGGAGCAGATTATATATATAGATTACGTTATATGAGATTGATATTTAACGCTGTTAATTAATTCCGTTACGTCCGTTAACGGCTGCTAACGTGCGGGTTTGATTCTACCAATAGTTTATATACGAAGTATTTTTTAACAACAAATAATTAGTTGAAATATTTTTATTCCAATCAAAAATAATTGGATATTAAACGTCTAAATAAAAATTACTTTAGAGTTTTTTTAGGGAATTTTCCCGAAAGATTGTATCTACCAAATCAAGTTGAGTCTAAATATGAGAAAAGGTAATTTTTGTCGCTCGGGAGATTATGGTTTTGTCATACAAATCAGTCCAATAAGGCTCTTACTAACACCAAAACACTCAATAAGTTAAAACATATTTTACGAACGTTTAGACAACAACTTACACTAGAACATAAGAAAGTCGAAGCAATAAAAAGAGGTTGCAGTGTATCATAAGTTAAGATCAATAAAGATCTCCATCTTCGTCGCCATCGTCAGAGATGGTAACCTTCTTACCGCAGAAAAGGCCCATCAAAGGTACCTTCTTCAGATTTGGTTTGGTCTCCAAATCATCGTCTAGGCTTTCTTGGTTAAGGTAGTCTTCGTACCTGGAATATCAAAAACCCTTGTGATCTCAGCATGTATACCAAAAACTTCACACCGATAACAAAAACCAAAAGGTAAATAGTGAAATCCCTTACCAAAGCTTCTCTGCAAGGTTGTACCTAATTAACAAAAATAATAGCGTCAATCTTCAGTTATGACATCAAAACTATACCAATAAGTTAGAAACACAAATCTCCATATGGAAAGTCAATTTACTTGGGTCGGAGAGGGCATAGAGGTATCTCAGCCACGTCAAGAAAAATAAATTGACCCATTAATGCTTTACTAATCTTCGTTTCTAGCGCCTACAGTATAAAAGATTTAGTCAGCAATGCAATCGTACTTTCAAATAACTACTTGTATAATGCTCATCATAAGTATACACTACTTTTCAAATGAATACTTAAAATACTTTTCATCATTACTATAAACTACTCTCACCTTCTTTGCTTCGTAAGAAGAAGCAAACTCAACAAAGCCACAGCCCAAACGCTCACTCATGTGGTCTACAATAAGTCGAACACAAACAACTTCTCCAACATCTTTGAAGAAACTGATGCTGTAAAAATGGAGGATAGATTATCAGTCATGAAAAAAGTTGCTCCAAGAACGAAAGGAGAAATTAAAGAGGCTACTTACATATGTGATAGTCTAGTTTTGTGATAGAGATTGGCAACAAAGAGCGTCTTTTTCCTTACCCCAAGGTCCTGAATTTAACAACAGCCAAGTGTGTTAGTACAACTCTAAGGAGAAAATGACTTAAATTGCATAACAACAAAGAGTAGATTCATCATTAGTATAAGTCATCTTTTGACTTTATGGTAGAAGTACTGGGCGTTTCCAACATATTTAGAAGTTAATAGGAACAGGTACCTCAACAAAAACAGGAGTTTTATCAAGTCCTTCCACTGCCTCATCTTCTTCCGCCAGAAGCTTTTCTCGTCGAAGGTAGTCTTCGTTCCTGGAATATCAAAAACACTAGTGATACTCCATATATACTAACATCTTCAACCAAATGTGTTTTTGATAACAAACTCAAGATGTAAATAGTCAAATCCCTTACCAAACCTTGTGATCTATGCAATACCTAATTAACAAAAGAAATAGCATTAGTGTAATGGCATCAGAACTCTAGCAATAAGTTACAAACAGTGTTGCATAAACAAATCTCCATAACATGGAAAATCAAATTACTTTGGTGTAGGGTATGGAGCTATCGTAGCCTCTCCAAGAGAAATCTTGCGATCGTGCAAATATTCACCGTTCTTCTTTTCTAGTGCCTACAGTATAAAAGATTTAATCAGCAATCGTACTTTCAAATAATTACTTGTATAATGCTCATCATAAGTATACACTAATTTTCAAATGACTAGTTAAACTCCTTATCATCATTACTATAAACTACTCTCACCTTCTTTGCTTCGTTAGCAGAAGCAAACACAACAAAGCCATAGCCCACAAGCTTGCCCTTATGGTCTACAATAAGTCGAATATGAACAACTTCTCCAACATCTTTGAAGAAATTGATACTGTCAAAAAAGGAGGACAAAATATTAGTCATGAAAAAAAATTCATCCAAGAATGAATAAGAGGAAATTAAAGGCGCAACTCACATGTGTGATGGTTTAGTTTTGTGACAGAGATTGGCAATAAATAGCGTCTTTTTTCTTATGGCAACTGCCTGAATTTAACAGCCAACTGTGTTAGTAGAAAAGAACTTAAAATTGCATAAAGAAACAGAGTAGCCTCATCTAAAGATTTCATCCCCAGAATAATTAATCTTTCGACTTTGTGGCGACAGTTGAGTTCTGTTATTAGAAGCTAAGGGTGAAGAACAGGTACCTCAACAAAAGGCTTAGGACTTTCATCAGGTCCTTCCACTGACACATCTTCTTCTTCTTCTATCAGAAGGCTTCCACGTCGAAGGTAGTCCTCGTAACTGAAATATCAAAAACCTTTGTGATCTCTCCATCCATGTATACCAAAAAGTTCAACCAATGTGCTCGGAGAGAGGTAAATAGTTAAATCCCTTACCAAAGCATCTCTGCAAGGTTGTACCTAATTAACAAAAATAACAGTGTTAGTCTTCCGTAGTGGTATAGCAAAACTCTAGCAATAAGTTAGAAACATGGAAAATCAACTTACTTGGGTCGTGGAGGGTATGGAGCTGCCTTAGCCACATGAAGAAAAATCATATGATCAAGCAAATATTCACCATGCATCTCTTCCAGAGCCTACAGAATAAAGAGATTTAGTCAGCAATCGGATTCGTACTTTCAAAAAAAGCTTCTTGTATGTTTTTCATAATTACTACAAAACTAGTCTCACCATCTTTGCTATGTTAGCAGAAGCAAACTCAACAAAGCCATAGCCCACATGCTTGCCCACATGGTTTACAATAAGTCGAACACTAACAACTTCTCCAACGTTTTTGAAGAAATGCATGCTGTAAAAGTAGCAGTCATGAAAAACTTGTTCCGAGAAGGAAAGTGGAAATTTGAAGATGCTACTATACTTACATATCTGATATTTTAGTTTGGGGAGAGAGATTGGTAACAAAGAGTACTTGCTCAACAAAATCGTGAGGTGTCTCATCATCATCAATGGGAAGGCTTTCTTGTCGAAGGTAGTCTTCATACCTGAAATATCAAAAAACACTCAATGTGCTCTTCTTGATAACAAAACACAAAAGTCAAATAGTTTAAATCCCTTACCAAACCTTGTGATCTATGCAATACCTAAAATTAACAAAAAGTAAAAAATAATAGCGTTAGTGTGGCATCAAAACGCTAGCAATAAGTTACAAACCACCGTAAACTTACTTGGGTCGTGGAGCAGTCTTAGGTGCTTCAATAAAAATCTTGCGATTGAGCAAAAATTCACCGTTCTTCTCTTCCAGCGCCTAGAGTATAAAGGATTTCATCAGCAATACTTAAAATACCTTTTTCATCATTAATATATAAACTAGTTTGTCACCACCTTCTCTGCTTCGTTAGCAGAAGCAAACTCAACAAAGCCAGAGCCCGCGAGCTTATTCTTGAGGTCTAAAATAAGCTGAACACGAACAACTCTTCCAACATTTTTGAAGAAATCGATGCTGTGAAAAAGTACAGGACAATAAATATCAGTCATGAAAAACTTGCTCCAAGAAAGAAAAGAAAAGAGCTACACTTACATATTTGACATTTTAATTTCGGGAGAGAGATTGTCAACAAAGAGCTTCTTTTTTGTTACGGCAGCTTCCTGAAATTCAACACTTGAGAATGTTAGCACGACTCTGAAGGAAGATTTATGACTTAACAACAAGAGGAATCCGACAAACCTTATGCTCGAATTTTTCCTTATGTTTCTTCAGAATCGGTTTGAATTTTTCCTCCGGCTTTCGCTTACCTATAAAAGGAGCAAAGTTGTTAAAATCAGCAAACTCTTCAGTCAAGTATAAAGAGCATTAGATAAGAGCTCTCAAAACAAACCCAATAAATTAACTTTGGCGGCCGATTTCCTGCTACAAGTGGCCATGGTGAAGATGAAAAACAACGCCGGCTCGTTATTTTCCCGGGAAGAGTTGAGAGCAGCAATTACTTTTTTTTTTTTTTATAAAACCCTAGAGATTCATCCCCCTAGGAAGAAGATATTTTATCAAACAATATTCTGGTTTGGGCTGGGCTTTTTACTGGTTGGGTTTATAACTTTTGTATTTTGTATATGAGCAAAAGTCGTTTTAGTTTGTAAAAGACCCTTAAAAGACCCTTAAAAGACATGGGGATGGAAGCTAGATGTTTTTGCAAAGGCATAGAGTTTCGTCGAATGATAACACTACAATTCAAAAAGCCTCCAACAATAAGTGATTTGTTAACCACATTTTTTAATCCAAATCGATTTACGATAATAATCGCAGAAATATTTTTTTTAATCAAATCTACTTACACATAAACTGATAGAAGTAGAATAACAACTCATAATGGAATTGCAAAATAAATAAATAAAAATGGTTTAAGAAAAACTGATGTACGAATCCTAACAACTATTTAAGAACAACCTTTAAACAATGAAAATCGCACACAAATACTTGTCTCTTTGGGAAAGAATTACTCAATGAGAGAATCCTTTCCGCCCACTGGAAAGACGATACATGAAACTACCTTTACACCACAATCAACAATCACATAGAAAAATACACAATACTCATATAGTTTGTATCACTATGCAAAACTATAACACAAAACTCATTCATGCCTTAGCAAAATCTCCACATCAATTTCCAGGCTCGATCATCTCTCCTGACCTTTGAACCTATCTAGTTCCATTGGACTCGTCAGTCTATTAATGAGCTAGAAAGAACCCGTCAATTGAATGTAGACCATTTTCCACTTTTCCTCTGTTCATCATCTCAAAAGATGGTAATTCCACTTTCTCATATAACACATATACTAACTTGTTATAACAATCACATTAACTCGCTCATCCTATATCAATAGAACAATCATCATATCATCAATACTAACTAACAAGCCATTACTACTAAGCAAACAGATCTAATCCTATGCAAGTGAATCATGAAGCATAAAAATAGAAATTTGTAATCGCATCTCCGCAGATTACACCCTCACCTTTTGTCATTTGATGACGAAGAACAACTCACTTAAGTATCCAAACAAATAGACCGTTAACTTCTTAATCCCACCATTGAATTTGAACTTGTTGTACCACGAAGCTCTCCCCAAAATTTTAACTTGATCGGATTAGTTTTGAACCTCCAAACATTGTCCCAAAGAAGGTACCTCGGATTTATTATTTTAGGGTTTCACGTTAACCAGTTTCAGTTGTTTCTTGCGTATAAAGGTTCTGCCGGCTGATGGTGATGGTGAAGGTTCTGCCGGCTTCCCTGACACCTCCTCTAACTGTATCCACCGTTGTCGTATCCTCAACTGATTGGATGTGACCGAAATCGCTTCTCCAAAAACCCAACTTGAATCTAAAATCTGATACTTAGTTATTTTTGGGGTTCAGAAAACTGTGACTTATGTCCAACTTGTAACTCGTATTGCGAATGGAGTTTACCTCGTAATGGAGAATCGTTGGTTGATATGTGTTCCTTGCAGCAAGATCTATCCAATGACACCAAACTCACGATTTGATTCCTTCTGCTCTGACGGGAAAAGTCTCACCTATATCACTACTTGACTGAACTCATCTTCCTCTTTTTTCACTAGAAAACCAAATAACATTATACATGAGCCATGAATCCACATGACCAACATAGATAATTTCAGAAGTATAGAGCATAAGACTTGAGATTTTCTTTACCCAATGAATCACGTTTCCGCCGAACGTAGAGAAGGACGGTGAGTGATGAGCGATGGTGATCAACAGTGACAAGCGATGGCTCACAACGTGACAATGACAAGGATGATTGCTGACTCTCAAATTGACAATAGCAACAAACGATGGTGGTTTTTGTGCTCAAGGATACGGTTATTGCTAGGGTTAAGATCTAAATGTGTGATGATTTAGGCGGCTCAACGAAGAGGGAGATATATGCGCTTATACACTTACCACGTGCACACACACTTTCACGTTAGCTTAGGTTTGTGTTTCATGATCTAGCTGGTCCATAGTTTTCTGCAGAAAATACTTATTATTGAACTCCCTAAAGAAAAATCTTCCCAAATAGGCACATATCCAACAGGAAAGCTCCTCTCAACATTTCTCCACCAATGATATGCATCTCCCAGCAAGTAATGTACTGTGAAATCCTTCTTAAACTCCTTTGGGCACATCGTTGTCCTAAAAAAATTTTCCAGCATTTGTCTCCAATCATCAGCCCGAACTTGATCAAATCCACCAGTGAAGTATTCTGTGCCCATTGTACCCATGAGCTTCATCGTCCCCAAAATACACAGTTCATGCTAGCGGTGTCGGTGGCTGATGGTGATGAGGTACATCAACCCTAGGTGTTGGCTGATGGTGCTGAGGTACATCAATCCTACTGGTGGAACCACTACAAGAAAAATGGACATTCTTAACACGAGAGAAATGCTATAATATGTTATTCAAAGCGTTTTCATAAACGTTGTTTCTGCCCCAGTTATCTTAGGGTTACTCCATACAATAGCGTTTTTTGTATGTGTTATTATAGGTCGTTCTATTATAGCATTAATCGAATGCTTTTATATATTTTCTTGTAACACATGTTTAGTGTTGTTTTATATATATTGTTTCGTAACACTTTTATTTTAATTTATAAATATATTTAATTTGATTTATATAATTTATATATTTGAATCTTGTTTTGCAGAATTTAATAATTTGGATTTATATTTCAAAAATCATAATATACATAATATTAAGATTACATAATCCAAAAAAGTCTTACATAACATCATATTCAAAGAAAAGAAAAACATCGATAAAAAAAACAACAAAAAGTAACTTTTCCACACCATTTCCTCCATAAGACAAGTACATAAATTGGCTCGATGATTTGGGTCAGCTATCCTCTTCTGGTTGTGTTAGCATTTTGGTAGATTGCTTGGCTACAACAAAAAGATACAATGGTAAAAACGATGATGTCAGATATTGTTAATGCACAAACATAGAATGCAAAAGAGACACAAGATCAATTAACTTCAATTATGCAGCCCTGCCATAAGTTACCAAATCTATAAAACCTTAAGAACTGATGCACGTTTATATATGTACTAAATTGAAACTTCATCATCTGTCTTTGTAATTGTTATAATAAGGTGAGACATTAAACTCATCATACCTATTAGGAGTTGCTAGTTTTGTGGTTTCTTGGTCTCAACAACAAAAGTATGGTGATTTTGTAATCAATTCAAGTAATATAACTGAAAATTAGAAAAGGGTAAAAGCTTGAGCACCTAAAGAGCAGCCAAACGAGCCTTGTCCTTGGAGATATCATCAAGCTCACCTACAAGCTGAGGCAACTACATCGGAAAAGATACATAATAAAAAACAAAAACAATGACCCTAAAGTACGCACCGTCCAGTCACAAACGTCACCGACCGTGGTAAAACCACCTCTCAAGAACCTAAGAATCAAAACTATATGTTCAGTATTTAACATTTCCTTGTGGTTGTTGAGCTGTTACATCTCCTGGTGCCCCCCTGAGAGATTCGGTTCATTATCTCTTCAAACATTTGCTAAGACTTGCTTATAATATTTGTATCATTTTATAATTGCACTACAAGAAAACAGCTGATTTACGACTGCAATATTAGTCGTAATGTAGTCGTTAAAAGACAAGTTACGACTAAGTTACGACTATAAGCGGTAGTCGTAAATCGAGAGTCGCTAAATGTTATAGTCGTAATTTCAGTCGTTATTTACCGACTACGTTACGACTATAGGGTGCAGTCGTAACAGTAGTCGTAACATAGTCGTTAAATTTAACGACTATGTTACGACTATGTTACGACTAATCTGCATATATTGTAGTGTAGTCGTAAAGATTATAGTGACTATTTTCCAACTGATTTACGACTGTTTGGCGACTGTATTTAGAAGAAAAATGGCATGTTCGATTTTCTATTTTGCATTGACCTAAAATGCTAAATTGAAATACTAAATTGAAAAGTAAATAAGCTAAAAACATAGATTCACTTCATTTAAAAGAAACAAAGTTGAGTCATACCAAACAAAAACAAGTCTTTAAAACAACTGAGAGAAGAACTTAGTTTATGTACTTGGGGAAAGATTTAAAAGGAACCTAAACAAGAAGCTGATAGATAGGAGTTCAAGAAGTTGGGGGAAGACCGGTTGAGAGAGGCTCTGTGGTTTCTGCAGCCGAATGAGTCTTCATGAAGTCCAAAAAGGCTGGATCAGTTTGTCGGAGGTACTTCTCCACCAAGGACAAGTGCTCGAGCTTCTCCTTTTGCTCTTTTTCACGCCTTGTATTTTCAGCAGCCTGCTCTTCGATTTTTTTTTGAGCTTCCTTCAGTTGCTCTTGGATTGCCACAAAAGATGCAGAGTCTCCGGGTTGCTTGCGCTTGCCATTTTTAAGAATTCCCTTGAGGCTGCCAACTCCATAGAGAGTTCCTCTTGAATCCTTCTCAGTGGACTGTGAATGACAAGAGAAAAAGAATGTAGATTAGAACTCTATAAAAGTCAAAAAACAATATATGTGGATTGTGATAAATTGTACTTAACGTGAAGAAATATGGCTGTATATTCATCTGTTGTTAGCTCTCGAGGTCGTGAAGCGCCGTCCGAATCATATACCTCCAGCTCAGACAACTTCTGTTGCACATTCTTCTCATAAACCTTAGCTATTTTCTCTGCCTTCCGATCCACAAAAGAACCATCAGCCCTTGTATGAGTCTTAATGAAGACCTCACCAAGACTCACTGGTCTTCCCAATAGTTCTTCCTGCGATGTTTCAAAATATGTAATGATTAGCACAAAATCATAGAACAAAAGAGTGATAGAAAAAGACAGATATACTAACCAATTCGTATTGGATTTGCTGATATGACTTTGGCCCTGACAAGTGGATGTGAGGACCGAGACCATTACGGTCAGACATACGAGCCTTTGAATAAATCTGACTCCTCTTCTGTGCTTCTTCAGTATCCCAATA